AAATTAGTGAAGATAAATAATATATATTTTAACCTTTTTCACATTTCCACTCCCCCAAATTAACCTTTCACTCTCCAAATCCCCCATATTAACACCCAGATCCCAATATTAACACTCTCCTCCAGATTCCCCCCCACCCCCCCTCCCCAAAATTAACTTTCACTTAAAAAATTCTTCTGAAATGGGAAAGAAAATTTTTCTGAGGACGACACCACAAAAACAAAACTTGATGAAAAACTCACGAGATTACACAGGCACAAAGTTAGCAATCTCGGCAAAATTTAGGCACTGGTGATTTCACCCACTGAGTTCTATTTTAGACAACTCCATTTTTCCAAATGACCAAATTCTTAGTTATTTTGCTAGTATGCTGTCCATTACGATTTTGCAAGTCATGCTGTCCATTCTATTGATTGAGCATGAGAACTACCCATTCAATTATTTCAAGTATCCTATAAAGTGGCCAGAATTCAGTAATTTGACTAATTTCTCACAAAATTTAAAATATGTAATACCAATTTAAAAATAGTGTTCATTATAAACAATATAGACATTTCAAGCACTGAAACATTTCCACTGTTCATTAGTCATTTCCAGGTTTCTCCTGTATTACACTTGCTTTCCATTTTTAATTCTTATTCACACAAAAATAGATTTACTCAACTTCTCGGACAATAAAATATAACCAGGAAAGATTGTCTATAGCTTACAGTCTCCCAATAATGGAATCACATAAAAACTCATAAAACAGACTGGGAGCTGTAGAGGGCCTTACCCATCCTCTGGAATATCGGCAAAAATTAAATTTCTGTTACTTCTAGTTCTGAAACCAATCAAAATCATCACTATTTCAGTACTGTCTTCCATTCTATCAAATGATACCAAGAAACAGCCAATAAACTCATAAAAATCATCTGAGAAAACACTTCAAAGTGGCTATTTTAAACCATGAACATGGTCAGTTTTAGCACATGTACAGTGTGGAGCAGGATTTTTTATTCTGTGCACACTCACTGCATACACCCATTTTCTCATATCTAAGCCAAAATTAACAGCTACAACTTATCCGAGTGAGCTCATGACAAACTGTCAGGGACCCTGGCCTCTATGACAATTCCCTGTGACAGCCACTGAGTGTGTTAAATTGATAAAATATAGTTAACAGTACAAGTAAAACATCCCAATATCTCATGTTAAAATTCTTTTCATACAAATTTAAATGCATATCTTGCCCAAAAACCTACAGATATATTTTTGTGGTACAGGTTGGCCATCACTAATCCAGCAATCGGTAATCCAGTTCCATCAGTAATCTGACCCTAATTTCTGCTAACAATTTCAAATTCCCGGGGTCGCCACACCAACCTGCTGCTACTGTTTGGTGGCGCTACTTGCTGTAAAAGTCATTCCAATTTCTTTTTTTCCATTTATTGATACAACCTGCTCACTTTTAGCCTTAACTGGTTCCAACAAATAAAAGAAATGCTTCTCGTTGTGTAAAGCACATACAGTGGAACCTCAAATTTCGAACTTAATCCATTCCAGGAGCTAGTTCTAAATTCAAAAAGTCTGAAATTCGAAGCAATATTTCCCATAAGAAATAATGGAAATACAATTAATCAGTTTCAGAAACCCCAAAAAACATTTTTTTTATTTTTATTATCACACTGGCCGACTCCCACCAAGGCAGGGTGGCCCGAAAAAGAAAAACTTTCACCATCATTCACTCCATCACCGTCTTACCAGAAGGGTGCTTTACACTACAGTTTTTAAACTGCAACATTAACACCCCTCCTTCAGAGTGCAGGCACTGTACTTCCCATCTCCAGGACTCAAGTCCGGCCTGCCGGTTTCCCTGAACCCCTTCATAAATGTTACTTTGCTCACACTCCAACAGCACGTCAAAGTATTAAAAACCACTTGTCTCCATTCACATTCCTATTCAAAACACTCTCGACCGCATGCCTGCTGGAAGCACAAGCCCCTCGCATCACAAAACCTTCCTTTACCCCCCCCCTCCAACCTTCCTAGGCCGACCACCTATACCCCGCCTTCCTTCCATCTACAGACATGATACACTCTTGAAGTCATTGCTGTTTTCGCTCCATTCTCTCTACATGTCCGAACCACTCAACAACCCTTCATCCCTCTGGACGACTGTTTTGGTAATCCGCACACTCTCCTAACTTCCAAACTACGAAATTCTCGCATTATATTCACACCACACAATTGCCCTCGACATGACATCTTCCACTGCCTCCAGCCTTCTTCTCGCTGCAACATTCATCACCCATGCTCCACACCCATGATAAAGCGTTGTAAAAACTTATACTACTCTCATACATTCCACCTCCAAGGACAAAGTTTCTTGTCTCCATCAGACTCCTAAGTGCACCACTCACCCTTTTTTCCTCCCTCATCAATGCTATGATCACGCTCATCTTTCATAGACCCATCCGCTGACACGTCAACCTCCCCAAATAACTGATACATTCACCCCTCCATACTCTCTCTCCCTCCAATCTGATATCAAATCTTTCATCACCTAATTTTTTTTGTTATCCTCATAACCTTACTCCTTTCCTGTATTCAACTTTGATTTTCTTCTTTTGCACATCCCTACAAATTCATCCACCAAATCTCGGCAACTTCTCTTCAAATCTCCCGAGCACAGTGTCATCAGCAAAGAGCAACTGTGGCGCAACTCCCTCTTTAATGTTTGATTCTTTAGCTTTTAACAACACGACACCCTCTTGCCAAGACTCCTCGCATTACTTCTCTTACAACCCCATCTATAAATATATTAAACAACCACGTGACATCACACATCCTTGTCCTAAGGCCCTACTATTACTGGAAATAATTTCCCTCTTTCTACATACTCTAACTTGAGCCTCACTATCCTCGTAAAAACTCTTCACTGCTTTCAGTAACCTTACCCCTCCAGCACCATCACACCTGCAACATCTGCCACATTGCCGTGCCACCCCTATCCACCCTGTCAGTATGCCTTTTTCCAAATCCATAAATCCACTAAGACCTCTTAGCCGTATCTAAATACTGTTCACTTAGATGGTTTCAAACACAGTAAACACCTGGTCCACACAACCCCCTACCCTTCCTAAACCTCCTTGTTCATCTGCTATCTCCCTATTCTCCCGTCGTACTCTTAATTCTTTCCAATAATAAACTACCAATACACTTTACCAGGTAGACTCCACCAGACTTATCCCCCCTATAATTTTTGCCACTCTCTTTTGTCGACCCTTTGCCTTTATACAAAGGACGAATGCATCTCTCTCCAAGTCCCTAGTACGCTTACTACCCTCTCCATGCTTTATTAAATAATTCACCAACCACTCCAAAACTATATCCCCACCTGCTTTTACATTTTTTCTATCTTATCCCATCAATCCCGCTGCCCTTACCCCCTTCATTTTACCTACTGCCTCACAACTTCCCCACACTCACAACCAGCCTCTTCCTCACTCCTACAAATGTATACTTTCCTTGCCCTATACAACGAAATCACAGCTTCCCTCTCTTCATCAACATTTAACATATTCCTCAAAATATTCCCTCCATCTTCAATCCCTCTAACTCCTCCATTAATAACTCTCCTCTCCTATTTTTAACTGACAAATCCATTTGTTCTCTAGGCTTTCTTAACTTGTTAATCTCACTCCAAAACTTTTTCTTATTTTCAACAAAATTTGTTGATAACATCTCACCCACTCTCTCATTTGCTCTCTTTTACATTGCTTCACCACTCTCTTAACCTCTCTCTTTTTCCTCCATATACTCTTCCCTCCTTGCATCACTCTACTTTGTAAAAACTTCTCATATGCTAACTTTTTCTCCCTTACTACTCTTTACATCATTCCACCAATCGCTCCTCTTCCCTCCCGCACCCACTTTCCTGTAACCACAAACTTCTGCTGAACACCAACACTACATTTTTAAACCTACCCCATACCTCTTCGACCCCATTGCCTATGCTCTCATTAGCCCATCTATCCTCCAATAGCTGTTTATATCTTACCCTAACAGCCTCCTCTTTTAGTTTATAAACCCTCACCTCTCTTCCCTGATGCTTCTATTCTCCTTGTATCCCATCTATCTTTTACTCTCAGTGTAGCTACAACTAGAAAGTGATCTGACATATCTGTGGCCCCTCTATAAACATGTAAATCCTGAAGTCTACTCAACAGTCTTTTATCTACCAATACATAATCCAACAAACTACATCTGGAGATCAATTCCCAAGTGAATATTTAAGAAATATATAATACAAATAAGAAATTTAATACA